CCCTGGGTCTGAGGGAGGAGGGGGTTGGGGGCTGGACTCCTGGGTCTGAGGGAGGGGGACTGTGTCTGGCGGACTGTCCCTGGTGGAGGTGGGTGAGCACTCTTGTTCTCCCGCAGGTGCTGAGGCTGAGGTGCACATATCCGTGACCCCCTTGGTAGAGGTGATGCGAGGAGACCCTGTCACTCTGGACTGCACCCCCTCGGGGGCACAAGATCATTATGTGATGGAATGGTTCCTGGTGAGCGCCTCGGGCCTGGAGTCAGGGCACGCGGGTCTGCAAAGGCTACCTCATCAGAGCCCAAAGGACCCTTAGCACTCCACCAAACTGTGTTTCCATTTGACAGATAGGGAAACTGAGGCCCAGCAAGGACTCACAAGGTCCCCTGGTGCCTGGGTGCAGCTGAGACTAGAATGATATCCTCCTTCAGAGTGCTGGTTCTTGAGAGAGAGAGAGAACATTCAGAGACAAAGACACCAAGAAAGCAAGAAACCCCAGGGCAGGAGGAGAGAGAGAGAAACCCCTTGGCAACCCACGTGTGACAGAGTAGAACTGTGGTCCATAGGGTTTTCTTGGTTCTAACCTTTATGGAAGCAGATCACCAGGCTTTTCTTCCAAGAGAGAAAGAGAAGGAAAGAAAATGAGAGGGTGGGAGAGGAGAGGAGGAGACAGAGTGGAAGAAAGATGGGAACAGAACGAGACAGAGGAAAGGGGAAAGAGAAAGCAGAGAAAGTCAAAAGATAGGGAAGCAAGGAAGGAGGTGGAGAAGGGGGCAGAGAGAAAGCAAGATGCAAAAAGACAGACCTATAGAGGAGCAGAAAGAAACGGATGTGGAGAGAGAAGGGGAGGGATGGAGGAGGGTCAGACTGGGCAGCCCGAGCTGAGGCCTTGCTTGCTCGCAGAGGGACCGCTCCGGGGCCCGCCTCATCCTGATCTCGGCAGAGCTGCAGGGTTCAAAGGTGCAGGGCATGGTGTACCACTCCCAGGGACGCAGCCCCCCACACCAGCTGGACTCCCAGGGGCGCCTGGTGATGGCCGAGGCCCAGGTGGGCGACGAGCGGGACTACGTGTGTGTGGTGAAGGCTGGGGCGGCGGGCACTGCCGAGGCCACCTTACGGCTCCGTGTCTTTGGTGAGTGTCCAGAGGCTCCCCGGGGCCGGGGAGGCAGGTTAGAGCCCAAGAAGAGGCTCGTGACGTTAATGTCTTCTCTATAGTAAAACCAGAGACCACCGAGGTTGAGCCCAACAAAGGGACACTGTCTGTGATGGAAGACTTGGCACAGGAGGTACCTCAGGGGTGGACCTTGAGACCAGGGTCCTGGGGGAGGAAGAGCCCAGGGCCTGGACAGAGGAGGGGTCTGAACTCCGGGGCCTCATAAGGAGGCGACTGGGGTCCAGATGCCTGGATCTGAGGGAGGAGTGGGCTAGGGGGCCAGACTCCTGGGCCTAAGGGAGGAGGGGGCTGGGGGCCGGACTCCTGGGTCTGAGGGAGGAGGGGGCTGGGGGTTGGACTCCTGGTCTGAGGGAGGAGGGTTTGGGGGTCCAGACTCCTGGGTCCTATTAGGGTAGGCTGTATTCCTGCATGGGGTAGGGGCCTGGACTCCTGGTCTGAGGGAGGAGGGGGCTGGGGGTTGGATTCCTGGTCTGAGGGAGGAGGGGGCTGGGGCCTGGACTCCTGGGTCTGAGGGAGAAGGGGGCTAGAGTCCTGGACTCCTGAAACTTGGGATAGAATAAGGAGGGGTCCTCAGGGAGGACGGTCTGGGGACCCCGACTTGAGAGCCCTGGCTCTAAGCCCAGGGCCACACCTGCATCTGCCTCAGATTGCCACCTGCTTCAGCCGGAACGGGAACCCAGTCCCCCAGATCACATGGTATCGAAACGGGCAGCACCTGGAGATGCCTGCGGAGGTGAACTCGGGTGAGCGGCACTGCAGCCATGGGGGTGGGGGTGAGGGCTGCTGGGGGCCCCTGACCACTTCCCCCCATCTCTCCCAGAGGGCTACACGGTCAGCCGCACCATCCGGGAGGCCTCGGGCCTGCACTCTCTCTTCAGTGTCCTCTACCTGCGGCTCCGCAAAGCCGACCGGGATGCCAGTTTCCACTGTGCCGCTCACTACAGCCAGCCCAGGGGCCGCCATGGCCGCCTGGACAGCCCTCCCTTCCGCCTCACCCTGCACTGTGAGTCCACGCTGGCCCTGACCTCTGACCCCACCTCACTGCAGCCTGGTATACCTCACACAACTGTCTACCTCACACAGAAATGTGTGCGGGTGCTGGCCTCTCTCCTCTAACCTCGGACTCCTCATAGCACTCTGAGCCCCATCAAGCATTATGACTCAAACGTTGAGCTCCCCACTCTCCACACACTGAATTGAGTCACAGTATGACATCCGGCCCCTAATCTCACACACTGACCTGTCACCCACACTGACTTCTGACCCTTGACCTGTAACCTCAGTTTCTCTCAACCTCTTGCCTCTGGTTCCTGATCTCAGATGATGTGTAAACCTGAGGCTTCAGACATATGCCCTCCAACCTTTGACCAACCTTAGCACTGATCTCTGTCCCTTCATCCAGTCCTGCCTCTCACCCCTGACCCACAGTCTCCACGCCCTTTCCTTAGATCCCACAGAGAATGTGCAGTTCTGGCGGGCCAGCCCGTCAACCACAGAGGGCTGGGTACGAGAGGGCGACACGGTCCAGCTGCTCTGCCGGGGAGACGGCAGCCCCAACCCGGAGTACACCTTTTTCCGTCTTCAGGTGATCACCCCCTTGTCCCTTTGGAACCCTCAGCCCCTGACCTCTGTAACAGACTCACCTGCACTAGCTTCTAACATTAGACCTGGGTGGCTGCTGAGCACCCTGACCCCTGATTTGAGAGGCCCCTGACTTAGCCTAGGAGCCTGGGTGGCACAGTTGTTAAGCACTTGGCCGCTAACCAAAAGGTCAGCAGTTTAAATCCACCAGCTGCTCCGCGGATGAAAGATGTGGCAGTCTGCTTCCATAAAGATTACAGCCTTGGAAACCCTATAGGGCAGTTCTACTCTGTTGTATAGGGTCGCTGTGAGTCAGGATCGACTTCATGGGAACAGGTTTGGTTTGGGTTTGACTTAGCATGATGCCTGCCTTAGGTGACCTCTGACCTAACAAAACCCCTGACCTCTGATTTGAGAGAGTCCTGACATAGCATAAAGTTTGAGTGGGACTATAAATCTAAAGGCTGGCAGTTCTCACTTACCCAGTGGCACTAGGAAGAAAGGCCTGGCAATCTGCTTCCATAAAGATTACAGCCAAGAAAACCCTATGTAGCAGTTCTACTCTGTAACACATAGGGTCTCCACGAGTTGGACTCGACTCGACAGCAACAGATTTGGTTTGGGTTTTTGTTTTTTTTAACTTAGCGTGATATCTGCGTTGGGTGAACCGCTGACCCCTTACTTGAATGGGATCAGAACTAATACAATACTAACCTGGTGACCTCTGACCCACTCAGACCCCAGACTCTGACCTGGGTGGCCCCTGGCCCAGCATGACTCTGCCAGCCCAGGGTGGCTCCTAAACCTGATTCCTCACCCATGGCCCCCAGGACCAGCAGGAGAGAGTACTGAACACCAACCTGGATGGGAACCTGACTCTGGAAGGGGTGCATCGGGGCCAGAGTGGTACCTACGGCTGTAGGGTGGAGGACTACGACGCCGCCGAGGACGCCGAGCTCTCCCAGACCCTGGAGCTGCATGTGGCCTGTGAGACCCAGGAGAGGGTGGAGGGAAAGGACAGGGCTCTTGGCATCCACTGTCTCCTCACCCTCTCCCCGTTTCTGGAACATACTCCCTCCAACCCTTTCTCTCCCTGCCCTCGTCCAGCCGTCTTCTCTTCCCCTGGGCCCCTGCCCCACCCTCCTCCTTGGTCTCCTGCCCTAGTCTTCTCTCCTCCAACCCACCCGACACAAGGCAGCCAGAAGCCTCCTTTTTTTTTTTTTTAATAATTTATTTTATTTTTGTTGTTGTAGAAAATATGCACAGCAAAACATACACCAATTCAACAATTTCTACTCGTAATACCATGACATTGAGTGCATTTTTGAAGTTGTGCCATGATTCTCATCCTCCTTTTCAGAATGACTCCTCCACCGTTGACGTAAACTCCCTGCCCCCTTAGCTTCTTATCTAACCTTTCGAGTTACTGTTGTCAGTTTGATCAGAGAGCTCTTTCTAAAGCACAAACCTGACTCTCTGCTCAGAACCTGCGACGGCTCCCCAGTGCCCCTGGGAGACAGCCCAGCTCCTCACCACAGCTTTCAAAGCCCTTCAAAGTCTGGCTCTGCCCACTTGGGCGGCTTGACCTTCAGCTGATGCTTCTCCCCGGTCAAGGTTATCTCATCATCACAGCCCACGCTTTTCTCCTCATTCTTTCGTTAAATCCCCACGCTCCCTACCATCTATTTCCTACTCTTGTCTTCTAAGAAATCTCAGTCCACTGGTAGCCGAGCCCTGTGGAAGGGGTGTTCCTTCTCGGGACTCGTTATGGAGGACATAAGGAGTCCTTGAGTGGTGGAAAGCATTAAGCGTTCGATGACTAGCTGAAAGCTTCGTGATTTGAATCCACCCAGAGGCACCTTGAGCCTTACCTGGGCCAAGGTGTGGCGCTTGGCTTTCTTCTAAGGGCACTGGGGAGCCAGGGTAGGTTCTGAGCAGAGGAGGGTCAGGTTTGTGCTTTAGAGAGCGCCCTCTGGTCAAGTGCCCTCTGACTCCGAAAGGTCACAGCCTTGAAAGCCCCGTGGAGCACAGTTCTACTCTGCAAACACATGGAGTTGCCAAGAGCCAAACAATAACAAGGACCTATGCCTCCTTACCTGGGACCAGACCCTGTGCCAGATGTTGGGGACACACCTGTGAACAAGACAGCCCAGCCCCCCAGCTTCCCAGAGCTCATAAATGCTAAAGAAGACACTTTGAGTAGCAATAAATGTGCTGATGGGGAATTACGCAAGGGATGAGATGGATTGGCAGGGAGAGCAGGGAATATTTTATTTTATTTTTTTAATTTTATTGTACTTTAAGTGAAAGTTTTTAATTCAAGTTAGTCTCTCATACAAAAATTTATACCTACATTGTTATGTGACCCTAACTGCTCTCCCTATACTGTGACAGCACACTCCTCCTTTCCACCCCGCATTTCCCATATCCATTCAACCAGCTCCTAACCCTCTCTGCCTTCTCATCTCACCTCCGGACAGAAGCTGCCCATTTAGTCTCGTGTATCTACTTGAGCTAAGAGGCACACTCTTCACGAGTATCATTTTATGTCCCATAGTTCAGTCTAATCTTTGTCTGAAGAATTGGCCTTGGGAATGGTTTTAGTGTGGGCTAACAGAGTCCGGGGGCCATGTCTTCCGGGGTCCCTCCGGTCTCAATCATACCATTAAGTCTGGTCTTTTTACTAGAATTTGAGTTCTGCACCCCGCCTTTCTCCTGCTCTGTCAGGGACTCTCTGTTGTGAGCAAGGAGTATTTTAGATGGGAGGAGTTGTGTTCCTGGAAGCAGTTTCTGATTCGGAGATCGGCAGGCAGGAAGTTTTTTGGAGAATACTTGTAAACATAGCTGAAACAATGGACTCAGACATACCAGCGATCACAAGATGGCGCAGGACCGGGCAGGATTTCATTCTGTTCTATGTAAGGTCGCTGTGAGTTGGAGCCGACTCAATGGCAAATACCAACAGCCACCACCACCTTGGAGTCAATATCTGTTGAGAGAGGGGTGACAGAAGCAGCGTGAGGCAAAGGGAGAAGTGGGGCTGTGATGCCATTGCAGCAAGGCCTCAGTTGTCCCCACGGGGCACTTGGAAGCTAAGATGGCCCTTCAGAGTTGGGGCTGGAGAGCTGGGCTTTTGTACCCCCACGTCAACCAGTCACTGGGTGTAGTTTGCCCCCGGAAGGGGGCATGACCTTGGGCGAGGGGGCTCTCTGCAGCTGTGGCAGTTCCCAGAGAGGGCTGACAGCTGACAGCCTTCTCAGCAGCTGGAGGAATAAATCCTAGAGGAAGCAACTGTGCTTCCACAGCAGGTGGCAGGGAGGCCTTTCTGAGAAGGGGATGTTTGAGCAAGGGCGCAATGAACGAGAAGGAACCACAAATGAGAAGAGCTACAAGAAGATCACTCCAGGCAGAGGGAACAGCAAGTGCAATGGCCCCGAGGCAGGGCCCATTTTGGCATACAGCAAGAGAACATGGTGGTTGGAGCTTACTGGACACGGGGGAGGGTGGGAGATGAGGCTGAAGAAGTGGGCAGGGACCAGACCAGGCAGGATATTATAGGCTGTGTTAAGGAGCTTGGTCCTGATGCTGAGGGTACTGGGGAGCCACTGCAGGATTTTTAAGCAAAGGACATGGCTGACCAACATGTGTTTTGAAAAGACCACTCTGGCTGCTTAGTGGAGGATGGAATGGAAAGGACAAGGGTGGCAGCAGGGAGACCTGTGAGGAGGTGACTGCAGGGTCTGAATATGTCAGAGCAGGAGGTGGAGAGCAGTGGGAGGGTCTAGCCTGGAGGCAGAGCAGATAGCCCTTGAGGACAGGATCGATGGGGGATGATGGGGAGGAGAAGCCCAGGCTTGTTTGGGTTTTAGCAATAGGATGGGTGGCAAGGCTGTGAGGAATACTTAACACCCCCGGGTTACCTGTTAACCTCGGGCTCAGGTGTCAGCCCTGGAAGAAAGGGGTCAGTGGGCCTTATTTTGGAGTCAGGCTTGTAGAGTTTAGCTCGGGGGCTTGGATGGGAGGATGGAGATTTCATAAGGAGAAGGAGAAGGAACGCTTGGCATTCTGTGCTTAAACCAAAAAAACCAAACCTATTGCTGATGAGTCAATTCCGACTCATGGCGACCCTATAAGACAGGGTAGAATTGATTGCCCCATAGGGTTCCAAGGGGTGGCTGGTGGATTCGAACTGCTGACCTTTTGGTTAGTAGCCGTAGCGCTTAACCGCTGCACCACCAGGGCTCCATCCTGTGCTTAGGAGTGTCCATTAATGTCTGTACTCCTGACAGCCCTGGAGAACCCCTAAGTGGGTGAGAAGTTGGGGAAGTGACAGTCTATGTGTCCCCCAAACTCCAGACCTGGACCCCCTGGAGCTCAGCGTGGGAGAGGAGCTTTCCTTACTGCTGGGCAGCAGCGCAGGCGTGAACTGCTCCGTGCAAGGCCTGCCCACCCCGGCCCTGCGCTGGACCAAGGTGAGGGGCAAGGGGCCCCAGCCCGCGCACCCTCCACCTGCACCCTCCTCCCTTCCTCGAGCCCTCGCCTCCTGACTGCCCTGCCTCTCCCATCCCCAGGACTCAGTACCTGTTGGGGACGGCCCCACGCTGTCACTCAGCTCCATCACCTTCGACTCTGCCGGCACCTATGTCTGTGAGGCCTCCATGTCCACGGTGCCCCTCCTGAGCCGCACACAAAGCTTCAAGCTGCTGGTCCAAGGTTTGGGGTCGGGGGCAGGCCTGGATGGGGACAATGGGGTAGGGGACCAGGACAAACAGGATGTGCCCATGGCTAGACCCTCCGTCTTCCCCTGTGGGTTGTTGTTAGTGGCTGTCGGGTCATTTCTGACTCATGGGGACCCTACATGTGCAGAGTAGAACTGCCCTCATAGGGCTGTCAAGACTGTGACCATGTGGAAGCAGATCGACAGGCCTGTCTTCCCAGGTGCCTCTGGGTGGGTTTGAACTGCCAGCCTTTGGGCTAGTAGTCGAGCGCTTAACCGTTTTCGCCGCCCGGGGGCTCCTGTCTTTCTTTCCTGTCCTCTCCCTTCCATTCTGTGCCTCTCTCACTTTGATCCCCACCACTGCCCCCGACAGGGTCCCCAGAGCTGAAGGCAGAAGAGACCCAGCCCAAGGCTGAGGGCATCTGGCAGGAAGGAGACGAAGTCAAGCTGATCTGCTCTGCCCGCGGTTACCCAGTGCCCAAACTCAGCTGGAGCCAGCTGGGCGGCAGTGTAAGGGACCCTCTTCACCCCGAATCCTCCTCCGGGACCCAGGCATTCCCCCCCAACCCCCTCACTGAGCCAGGCGTTGTGTCCCCAACTCCCTGGGGGCCTGGGCATCCTCCACGGCTGCCCTCACCCCAGCCCTTGGGGCCATGCATGCGGGCCTGACCTGAGCCTCCTCAGCCAGCAGAGTTGGCCCCCGGAGGGCAGGGCTGGGTGAGCAGCTCCCTGATCCTGAAGGTGACCAGTGCCCTGAGCCGTGACGGCGTCTCCTGTGAGGCCTCCAACCCCCACGGGAATGTCCGGCATGTCTTCCACTTCGGTACCGGTGAGTACCCGCATTGGGGGCAGGGAGCCAGGCATGGGGCAGACAAATCCCTGCTGGCTGATGCCTTCCTCTGCCCTGTTCCTGCAGTGGCCCCTCAGACTGCCCAAGCCGGAGTGGCTGTCATGGCCGTGGCCATCAGTGTGGGCATCTTGCTCCTCGTCATTGCTGCGTTCTATTGCATGAGACGCAAGGGACTCCCTGGCTGCTGCCGGCAGGGGGAGAAGGGAGCACCGTGAGTGACCTGCAGCCTCTGATCTCTGAGTTGACCTCTGTGATCCTACCCATCCCTAGCTCCACCCCTGACCTCATCCCCAACCTCGACCTCAACTCCATCCCCAGCTGAACCCCAATCCCATCTCCAACCCCAAACCCAACCCACAGCCATCCCCAACCCCATCCACATCCCCAGCTACATCCCTTAACCCAACTCATAGCCATTCCCAAACCCATACCCATTTCTAAACCCAGTTTAACCCCATCCGAATCCCCCATCTCCTCTCCAGCCCCAAACTTACTCCTGTTCCCGAACCAAACCCCATCCCCAAAGCCAAACCATAACCATCCCCAAACCTATCCCCATTCCCATTCCCAAACCCAACTTAACCCCATCCCCATCCCCAAATCCAACCTCATCACCAATCCCAATGCTGCCCCTATCCTTAATCCCAAACCCAACCTGTAACCATCCACAAACCCATCCCCATCTAACATCATCTTCAACCCACCCAACTACATCCCCATTCTCAATCCCAACCTATCACCATCCACAAACCCATCTCTATCACCAGCCCCAACTCCAGCCACACCCTCAACCTTTAACTCCAACTTTTTCTCCAACCCCAATCTATCATCATCTACCCCAAGCCTTCCACAGCCACATCCTCAATCCCACACCAACCCGTAACCATCAACAAACCCAACTTCAACCCTATCCCCAAGCCTCCCTCCAACTCTAAACTCATCCCCATTCCCAGCTCCAAACTCAACCCGTAACCATCCCCAGAGCCAACCCCAGCCACATTGCCATCTCCAAGCCAATAGCGTCTTCAACCCTAAACCCAACCTCATCTCCAGTCCTACCTCCATCCCTAACCCCAGTGCCATTCCCAACCCTCCACTCCATCCTCAAGTCCATCCCACCCAACACAACCTCATCTCTACACCCCCATCCCCAACCCAATTGTAACCCCACCCCATCCCCAGTTCCTTCCCCAACCCTGGCCACCTCTGACATGCCGCCTCCTCCCTGCAGGCCACCTGGGGAGACAGACCTGAGCCACTCAGGGTCAGAGAGGCCAGAGCAGGCAGGCCTTCTCACAGGAGGCGCCTCTGGAGGAGCCAGGGGTGGCAGCGGGGGCTTCGGAGATGAGGTGGGTGAGGGCCTGGGCACCCTGGTGAGAGGGGGCCCGCTGGGCAGTGGCATGGCCTCTGTGAGCGCAGCCTGACCCTCTCCGTCTCCTTCCCAGTGCTGAGTCCACGGACCTCCCCGAGGTGGTCACTGGACCCAGATCTGCAGTGGGCATCAGAGGACCAGAGAACCGGCCCTGCTCGTGTCTCTGCCCGCCCCCGCCTTCCCTCTCTGCTGTCTGGCCCTCCCTTCCTTCCTCTGCCTGGGCAGGACCGAGAGCAGCTGGCTGGCTGGAAGGGAGAGGAGATGGGAGGGGGCCTTCCTCCAGGGACTGTGACTCTCCCAGGCTCCAGAATAGCTCCTGGACCCAAGCCCAGACCTTGGCCTGGGACGAGGTTCTGAGGGTCAGCAGCCGGGGCTATTTTTACCTCCTGCCTCCCTTGCTGGTCCCACCACCTGATGGCCTGCTGCATAGTCTGACACTGGATCCCCGCCCCCGCCCCGCCCCTCATCTGTGGACACTGGAGTCTGGAATAAATGTTGTCACGTTGACACCATCCGCGGCCAGCGCCTCCTCTGGAAACGGTGGGAAGGGGCAGGGGGTGATGCAGGTGATGTGCCCCTCCCACCTGTCCCCTTGCAAGCCCTCGGGAGAAGCCTGATGTCATGGAGAAATGCTTGACAGGGAGAAAGCAGAGGGTGACTCAGCTGCCTGCAGGTGGAAGAGAGGGGTGCAGGGGGTCTAGACGGCTGGGGTGCTGTCCCCCAAAGTAAGAGTTCCTAATTCCCCTTTCCAGAGCCCCAGAGGGAGGTGAGACTGGGAGAGGAAAAGCTCCCTCTTAGCTGTAGAGTACCTGGAGCCCTGGTGGCGCAGTGGTTAAGAGCTCGGCTGCTAATCAAAAGGTGGACAGTTCAAATCCACCAGCTGCTCCTCAGAAACCCTATGGGGCAGTTCTACTCTGTCCTATAGGGTCACTGTGAGTCAGAATCGACTTGACGGCAACGGGTAACGGGTAGCTGTAGAGTTGATGGAGTTAGGGATGGAGGTGCCTCATTGGGGTGATCACAGTCCCTGGGGAAAGAGAGGTGGCTCGGAGGGGCCAATGCCAGAGAGAGGAGACAGTGAGGCCAGCTTGAGAGACTACTGAGGCGGAGGAAGAGGGATTTGCAAGAGATGGAGGGAGAGCCTTAGGGGAGGGAAGAGGGATGAGCTGGGGAAGCCCAGAGATGAGAAACAGAGAAAGAGAGATAGACAAATAGAGACAAAGACAAAGAAAGAACTGAGATACAGAGAGGTAATTATAGTCAGAAACCAAGAATCCAAACCAGTTGTCATTGAGTTGACCCCAACTCATGACAACCCCATGTGTGTCAGAGTAGAACTGTCCTCCATAGGGTTTTCAATGGCTGATTTATCAGAAGTAGATTGCCAGGCCTTTCTTCCAAGGCACCTCTGAGTGGACTCGACCCTCCAACCTTTTCGTTAGTGGCCAAATGCATTAACCATTGGTGGTTCAAACCCACCAGCCACTCCATGAGAGAAAGATGTGGCAGCCTGCTTCCGTAAAGATTCCAGCCTCGGAAATCCTATAGGGCAGTTCTACTCTGTCCTATAGGGTCGCTATGAGTTGGAATCAACATGACAGCAATGGGTTTTGTTTTTCTTGTTCTCTCTATAGTAGAATTGAATATTCCTTAAAAAAAGAAAAAAGATAGCAAACACACATATAAGATCATGGGGTGGTTGGGAGAATGTAATGAGATAGTCCACTGGAAGTGCTAATTACAAAGCCCGCACAGCCTAAGTGTTCGGTACATGTTAATTATTATTATTATCACCGAAGGAAAAGTGGAGGGACAGAAGAGCAGAAAAGGGTCCTTTCGTCCAGGAAAGGGACCAAGGTGAAGAGAGACACCATTCTAAGGGCAGATAGACAGAGGTGAGGAGGGATCTGGGGAGCTGGAGGAGGAGTTGACAGATGGCTAAGGGGAGGCGAGAGAGGGGACTCCTGGGGGAAGGGGTTTTCTGCTGCCCACCACCTGATCCCTGAGTTAGTGAGGGGAGGGTCCCAGCCCACCTCAGAGGAGGGCATACATTTGCATAAAGTCCTTCATCTCCATGGCATCATAGACAATTTGCACATAGATGACAGCCGAGGCCCTCCTCAGTCTGACCCCTCCTCCCACCTTGGGGGAAGAGAAAGGGGTGGGGGAGGGGGGAGGTGAACCACAAAATGGGACTCCAGTATCTAAAGGCAAGTTTGAAATAAACTCCCTTTGCTCATCAATCTGCCGTAGTTCCCCATTACTCCCAGGAGTGTGAGCCATCCCTGTGCCCGGGCATTGAAGGCCTTCCGAGATGCTCCTCTCACACACATCCACTCCCTCTTTGCCTTTGTGACTTTGCTTCGTGGAATGCCTTTCCCCATTTCCCCCACTGTAACAAATCTTGCCTTCAAGTCCTGGACATTTTGAACGAGTCTATAAAGCTTTCAAGGAACCCTGGTGACGTAGTGGTTAAAGCACTTGCCTGCTAACCAAAGGGTTGGCGGTTCTAACCCACGAGCTGCTATGTGGGAGAAAGATGTGGCAGTCTGCTTCTGTAAAGATTACAACCTAGGAAACTCTCTGGGGCAGTTTGACTATGAGTCAGAATCAACTTGATGGACAATGGGTTTATAAAGCTTTCACCCCTTTTCCCTTCCCCTGGAGCTTTACAGCAATCTGTGCCTCTTCTGGACTCAGATTTTATTAATGAGGATATGTTTGGTCGCAAATGACAAAAACCTAACCCAAAAATTGGTGTAGGTGAATAGGGAAAATTTTTCACTCATGTAACTGGGAAGTTCAAGGGCTTTCCACCTTCAGGCATAGCTGGATCCAGGGGCTCAAGTAGTTTTCATTGAAAAGCTGTTCTTTTCCATCTTTCAACTCTGCTGTCCTCCATGGACGGGCAGGGTCTTTTGTTTCAGGTGCCACCCACAGCATAAGTTTCTACCCTATCAGCTTAGCAACTCCAATTAAAGAGGCTGTCCCTTTCCCATTAGTTCTAGCAGAGATCTCAGGGCTAATTCTCATTGGTCAGGAATGGGTCTCATATCCATCCCTCAACCAATCTCTGTGGCCAGGGGGATGGAATGCCCTGATTGGCAGGGCCTGCGTCAGATGTATTCCAAACAATAAGGACTAAATGTGGGTACTTTCCATAGGAAAACTGGGAGGCTGCTTCTGGAGGAATGGAGAGAGGCTACTGCACAGGTAAACTGTTTGGTGTCCACTCCATAGCTCCATAAGGAGGCCCTTGGCCCTGCGCCCCTGCCTCTTCAATGAAGTGCTACCTTTGGGACTCCTTGATACTGGACCCACCCAGTCATTTGTCAACAAACACCACAATGCCCAAACTTATGCATTTGCCCGGTGGGAGCCCGGGGATATGAAACTCCAGCGCATTCTCCCAGGACTTCCCTCCTGGGCTCACTTCCGTCCCCGGAAAACAGCCAGGAGAGGCTTAAACCACCTACTAACAGGCCAGGAGAAGACAGGCTGGTGGGAGGCCTTCCTGGAAGAAGTTTCCCTGAGGACTAGTTATTTCTATCAAGAAAGCAACAGGGGGCCTCCGGGCAACATGGCAGTACAGTCAGAAGCACCATGCCGTCCCTCTGCAGCAAAGATCAGAAAAACTAAGTCAAACAGAGTCACACATCAATCCCGAAACCCTAAGCATCAAATGAAGAGATAAAGAAGTCAGCCAAGCACCAAATGGAATAAGAAACTGACCGAGAACAGAGAGTGAGGAGAGACACATGCAGAGGTCCCTTATTAGCTACCGCAGCACAGATCCGCCATATTGGACTCCTATCAGAGATCAGTGAACAGGGGGTATGAGAAAGCAGCATCACAGAGCTTCCAGCAGGAGACAGAACAACCGGTAACCAGCAATATAGGCTTTCCCACCCCCCACCCTTCTTCACCCCCCACTTATCCTCCTCTGCTCCCTGCAGCTAGTCTCTTGGCCAGGAAGCACCAGCTTCACCCCGGTGTTACTTGGATTCCACCCGCCCACACTGGCCCGCTCTCTGAGTGCCTTTTGTTGGCTGCTAGTGTTGCTTTTTTCCACTTCTTTAGATTTCTTCCTTACCTCTCACCACCTCACCCTCCTTTCTCTCAAATACCTGGCTCTGGGCGCCATCTTTGCTTCTTCCTGAAAGGCTGGGAAACACCGCTCAACTGTGAAACTGCTTCCTGGCCCTTGCCGCCACGCTGGTGGGACCCCCAGGGCTTTTTTGTTTGTTTGCTTGTTCTGATTTGTGCTGTTTTGATTTGTTTGTTTATTTTCTTTTTCTTTTCTCGGCTTAGGAGCCCCTTGTAGCCGGGTAGTACCACGTGACTTGGAAGCTACTCTGTTACTCTGCGCAGATGCACAGGGACATCCCTGGGGGCATTTCTTTTTTCTTGTTTTTTTGTTTTTGGGTTTTTGTTTGTTTGTTTGTTTCTTTGTTTTGTTTTCTTCTCTCTCTTATTCCCTTTTTGTCTTTCTTCATTTCCAGTCTCTCGATTTATTCATTTTTTTCTTTTACCCTTTGTCTTAGTCATCTAGTGCTGCTCTAACAGAAATACGACAAGTGGATGGTTTTAACAAAGAAAAATTTATTTTCTCACAGTCTAGTAGGCTTCAAGTCCAAATTCAGGGCATCAGCTTCAGGGCAAGCTTCCACTCTCTGTCAGCTCTGGAGGAAGGTCCTCGTCATCATCAGTCTTCCCCTGGACCAGGAGCTTCTCTGCACAGGAACCTCAGTCCAAGAGACGCGCTCTGCTCCTGGTGCTCCTTTCTTGGTGGTATGAGGTCCCCCGATTCTCCACTTGCTTGCCTTTCCTTTTATCTCTTGGAAGAGATAAAAGGTGGTGTAGGCCACACGCCAGGGAAACTCCCTTTACATTGGATCAGGGATGTGACCTGGGTTAGGGTCATGTTACAATCCTACCCTAATCCTCTTTAATGTAAAATTACAATCACAAAATGGAGGACAACCACACAACACTGGGAATCATGGCCTAGCCAAATTGATACACACCTTTTTTGGGGG